TCATTCAGAAGAGTGTTCTCTTCGTACACAGTTACAGTCCTTCCCTAACTTTCCCTGCCCTGCGGAAGGTTGACTTTGAATTTGAGACGTCTGGTTTCAAAGTGATCAGACTTGTTTCCCAAATTTACCAACATCGTTTGATAATCCACATCTCTGATGGATATATGCACACATCAACCCAGCGCTGACCAAATTATCTCTCTTTAAACCTCACAACCTCTCTGAGTGTTGTCTCATTTCAGCTTGCACCCTTCCCCGGCAGGACACTTCTTGACACCTCATCAAACTTTAATTCAAGCTGCTAATGTGAATGTTCGTTCGTCAAAATTTATTCACTATTTGTTTTGTTTTCTATATCGTGTTCGTCTCTTTTTAACCTCATCTCTTGCTGCCATTATTATGATGGTGGTTTCCTGTTTAGCTCAAAGCTTACGGACACAATTTTAGGGGATTGCATTCTATCTGTGAGGTCCCGGGTTCAATCGCCAATGAACTCGCTCACTGCTGATGATGAAACCCAACCAGATCGAAACAGCTGTCCAGTGCGCCCTAGTTATTCACGCCTCATTTACACGGTGAATTCATCTTGTAAATATAAATTAATTTGACATTCATTCCGACTTCCAATTTAAGTGGTTTCCTTCAGAACTCTCTTTAACGGTAAAGTTATAATAATCAGCTCAGTTTTGTTACACAGGCTAATCAACTGTGAACTAACCACCCATGTTGTTTCCTCTACCTTTCTCTCTCTCTCTGTCTTATATTCGCAATATTCCCACTCTCCCTCGCATTTAGCCAATGAATTAATTTTTCTGCGTTCGGCACACGTTTCACCGAGTCTGTGAACAATACAGGTGTTGATCAAACTCGTGCAACATCACTCTCATTTTGAAAATACAATTCAGTCTCCAATATCATACTTGCATATTGATGACTGTGGGTAGATTCCTGATTTTATCTCCCACTTTTATGTGCTTAGTTCTCTTCTATCACCGTTTGAATTTGCGTGACCTTGAGTGTTGCGATAAAATTTGTGGTAGTGAGATTTCGAAAATGTTTTAAGCGAAGCAGCATGGCAAGTAATTCTTTTTAATAAATGATTCCAGTTCCACTACAGTGTTTCTTAGGTTGAGCAAACGTATTCTAAATTGTTCATCTCTTTTCATTCAGTGCACAGTAAATAAGTAAATTAATGAAAATATTCCAGCTTAAATAAATTGATAAATTATTGGGCTACAAACTACTCACGCAGTAGCTGGAGTTTTAATTTCATCGAAAACCTTTCCCTATATTAGAAACAGGAATAAGTCAGTTGCCTCAACATTGGTCGTCAGTGGTTAGAGTGCGGGGTGTATTAGAGAAAACTGGCAAATTTTTGTTTGGAAATCAATTTGGTGGACTTCATGCTAAAGCGGCTGCCTCCAGTGCTCAAAAGTGAAGAAGGGCAAATGGAACATGGATGAGATAAAAGTACAATACATGTACGAAGTCTATTAGTCATTTTAATAATAAAGAATAATAATAATAATAACAATAAATTCTAGTTACGTTTGTTTGTTTACAACTGATGCAACACCAACCATTTTCAAAATCGCGAAATCTTACATTTCAATGGCATGTGGCTAATGGAAGCAAAGACATATCGGATATCTAGCGTATGATATGAGGGGCAATACCATTTTCAACATCCGTGAATGAGGCTGGAAAAACGAGGCATAGAGAAAAATGAATGCGATGATGAACGTCAGGGTGTTGCACGAGTTTGGTCAATACCTGCATATTCCATTAGCCCCTGGTTTCCCTCCATCCTCCATCGTTTTGCCCGCCTGATGAAAAAATGACGACGAATTAATGGAATTATCTCATCAAATTTACTTGCACCTGTTTGCACCGCACAGCTGGATTATAAGTGGCTTCATTGTTTTCTTTTTAAGGGAATATCTTGTTATCGGCAGACAATATCGGCCTTATCCTCCTCATTGTTCCTTTCAGTGTGTGAGATTACTGCTTCTTATCAGAAAAACCCGTTACAACCGATCATTTAACAAAGGATCACATTTGGACAACACGCGCGCGCGCGCGCGCGCTCGCACGCACGCACGCTTCCGGTTTCGCGGTTCGTGCAGCTCGTCAGGTATGCGCGTATCCGGCAATCCTTTACCACTTTATTCATGCACTTGTACCCAGGAAGAGTAGCTTCGTCACAATAACCTACTTCATTTGCAACACCAGATAAATTTGTTTGGATAGCTCTATCAGAAACAGTACAATGCAAGTACAAGTATACGAGTGAAGTGACAAAAGATTACCGGATACGCGCATACCTGACGAGCGTCAAGAACTGCGAAACCGGTCTGGTGCTTCCAGGAGAATGTTGTTGAGTCAATCATATATAACTTATTGTTCAAATGGTTGTTTGGCAGAGTGAAGTTTTGTATCGAGATTGGCAAAAGTTCAGTGGCCCCGGTGAGATTCGAACCCATGCATGGACGCCGCCTACGCTTTTTGTGCAGCGCACGCTTTACCATCTGAGCTACGAGGCTACATCTATTGCATTGATCTTTCCACAGGCAAATCACCCACCTATTATAAAATATGCATATATATGCTGATCGATCGTCGATTGGTAAATACATTTCAGTTTCCGGTACAATAGCCATTAGTGAATGATATTTATCCCGCAGGTTATCTCCTATTCCAATGTTATTTGTGTGACCTTAAGTGTCACAATACAAATTTGTAGTAGTTCGAAAGTTACAGCTCAGAGTTGAAAGATTTCTTTATTACATGCACTAGAGGAGCCCTTAAATGAAGCTGGGAATATGCTCTTTGGTGACCAATGAAGCACTAATATCCTTCCCCATCACGTGATCGCTCTAACTTGTTGAAAATGCGGACGCTTTTAACGGGGGTACATTTCACCCAAACATTGTGCGTGGTATTCTAATCGCAAACTACCGCCTCCGTATCACTTTTCGATTTGTTTATTCTCCGGCAGCTGTTGATTGATTGTAGCCTCCATCCTGAGAATGGAATGTCAGAAAGAAGCAGCATAAAAAAATGTGCCAACGAAAACCATTTTTTTCATTCGTAAACATTTCATTTCGTGTGTAGTAACTTTGAAGCTGGTCTATAGAAAGGATTGATGGCTGTGGAATACTGGAACACTGCCGTTACTTTTATTGCAACAAATGTTATCATCACCACCACCGTGGTCTAGTCGCTGTCACGCTGGCGTGCTTTGGACCCTATGGTTCGCGGTTCAAGCCCAGCCACCGCCATTTGACTTTGGTGGTAGGCAGCTTTACTATCGTTCGATTCAATACCACACCGAAACCAGCAGGGCCCTATGTGGTTCAGCCCATCCCAAATCCCGGAGCTTAGGTTACCGGTTTTCATGACGGAGCACCAGGATGGGGTCCTCTCCGTCTGCGGTTCACCACACACACTGGTGCGTGATAAAAAAATGTAGAATATTCATACATTCTAATGAAGTTCTTTCTGGTATGGAAACGGCTGTATACTCGTTTCTCATGAATCTAATTGTTTCGTGGCGAATACTGCTTGTCGATATTCTTCATCTTTGGCAATGTATGCTCAGTATAGCTACCTTTCCGAACCCTAGGAAAAGAAAACCCTCATGACTAAGGGTTCCGCCCGCAGCTGTAATTCAACATTTAACCGCATGCGGTAGATGAGGTCAACGTGTGACCAGTTTCTACTCAAACACACGTGGGTGATGTGTTGTGCGATCATGAAATATGATCACATAGGCCCTCGGCCAAACAATATGACTGACACAAAAGTCGATAAATTCAAATTCGGATGGTACCGTGATTCCGAAACTATAGATCACTTACCCGGCACAATATCCCCGAAACCAATCGTCGATAGGGTGACAAAACAGAAGTAGGACCATTTGAGATAATCCGCTGATTCCCAAACACAGAACACGGTGGTCCCAATCATGATGTACACGGTCATAATGAATATGGTGAGCAGGAGTGGAACTGTGGATGGTTTCTCTTCACTCAGATGGCTTTCCGTTTGTTGATACTCATCCACGGTTCTTGTCAGTTTCGAATCAAACGTATTGTATTCGGACATGATCGAGGGTTCTGCGGTCCACTGTTGCATTGGCAAATGTGCACGCGGATCCAGTTCCGTATAGTTGCGTGTGGTTGCGGTCGTCTCGACCGGGAAACAGATCGGGTTGACTGGGAACGGTTCATCCAACGTCTCCATACTGTCGGTAATTGTACTGGCCGAACTGTTAGACTGTTCGTCCGGTTGCTTTTTAAGATTCAAAAATGGACTTGGCGGAGAACATGTGCTGCTAATCAGACATGGTGCCTCGCGGGATGCTGGGATGTGGATTCCATTGATCCCGGTTGGATCCTCCTCTTCGTTCACCCCGTCTCCCCACGTTTCTGTATCACTTGTGATTAGAAACTTGGGACGAATCAAATGCAGATTATAATTCTTCGCTACAGACGCTGTTTGACTGATTTCCTGAGTATAATTACACTGGAGTTTTATTCTTTCTGATTCCAATGGACTGGCTTGAAATCGTCGAGTTTCCGACGTGCATTGCTCGTCATGCCATTCGTTCAACGACGCATCCCATTTGAATCCGGTTTGTTTTAATTTGACTCGGGATTGATCTGGAGTCAGTCGCGCACAACAAATCAATCGCCGACAACGAACGCGTAAGCATTTGAATACTGGACGACATACACGCAGGTAACACGTTTGAAAGACATCGGCCATATAGTTCCCATTGTTTGAAAGGTAACAGACGAATAGCGGAATGCCAAACACCGCGTACATCATGGTGAGAAATTTACCCAGAGCGGTATGAGGGGTCACGTGACCGTAACCTGTTCGAAGAGAGCGAAAGGGTACAGCTTCTATGATTGAAATCACTGGTAACAAATCATTGGTCAACATCGTTGATTTTTGAAATGAAAAGTTTTTTGTCGTGCTTTCATATTCGGTCAGTAGTATGTTCTCGAACAAATAAATCAGATTTCCTCTGTTTTTTTGTCCCAGTTTAAGTAGGTAAATAAGCACTTAGCACATTATGCAGCATTTTTGTTGTAAACGGCGGAAGAAAGGCAAACAGGCCGATACAAACTAACACATCGCACTACAGCCATATACCCTTCACTTGCACCTCCATACAACCAAGCGTCTCAAATAGCCTCTGCTGAGGAAGCCCTACTCACCACTGTCTTCTCTTGCGGCGAAGGTGTTTTCTCACCAAAGTGAGAGGACGAAAAGTCGATATCCGGGGATATAACCGGGTTGGTTTACCACTGATAGTTCACCTATGGAAGTTGGCCCAAAACCCTGGTTCCGAACCAACCAAGAGGAAGCGTACGAATCACACTCACACCTTTTTCGCTTGTGGTCACCGGTTCGATTGGGCATCAAGATGTAATGGGCACTTTGGACGTTTGACCCCGTTCGAAGGAAGTATGTATGACCCGGTGAACTGGACACCGGCCCCCAATGGTTTGTGGGTTTTCGCAAACCGCCCCGTTGCCTTGCGAATCAGGCTTTGGCTAGCCAAAGGCTCCAGTTGTAGATTCCTCGAGAAAATTCACCTGCCTTGTCCTGGACAACCTGGCAGTATTCAGCCCATATGCAAATCATGGAACGTTTTTCTTTGTTCATAAAGATTATCGTACCATGATTTGTTTGGCACATAGTCTGGATCCAGACGCGTGTGAAGATATAATATATATGTATATATACTATTATATTCTATTGAAGTGAGTCCACTGAAGTTACCGCTTGTCAGCTTCAACTCGTTCCAACATTGAAGAACAAAGAAATTGGAATAAAATGTGTGCCAACGTTGTCTTACTCTCTCTCTCTCTCTCTCTCTCTCTCTCTCTCTCTCTCTGGGGCTGATCAAAATCTTCCCATTTGCTTATCTGCGGTAATACTTAGCTAGTTATGCCAATTGGCTATGATAAATCCTCGACCACTTACCTCTTCAAGTAATGACAATCAAACTGGAGAAGCATGTGCCTAGAAAACATCGAACTCTTCACTGGCCAAGCCTTTCTGATGAATTAACACCTCACTGTTCGAGATCCGCACTAAAGCAAATGCCAGAAGGCTCAAGTTGATTGAAGCGATTGCAATCAATCCATGGAAACTCTATTTTAAGTCAACAGGACCTTTACATCGCTCCGGCAAGCGCCACATTACAATTGTATTTGGTCGTGTTGTATAAGCCAATAAGTACGCATGCAGTGGTTATTATATTTCCAGTATGTAATTGCAAACGTAGCCGGTCCGTTAGCCAGTGAGCAAGCAGTGCGTCAACACGCAGACAGGCAGGCACAAACTAGCGCAAGTGTTACCAAAAGGAGTATGTCGTCACGCTGTGCAGTCAACGCACCAATCAGTGAGGAAAGATCAATACTGACCTCTTATCGGTTGAGGCGGATCTACCTTGTGACAGAATAAGTCCGCATGACGTGCGTCCGTGCGTGTGGTGGCAGACCGAAACGGTCAATCACGTGATGTGCGGTAAACGTTTCACTCGACTGCAGGCCATAACAGGGCGTTTTAAGTTTCGGTTGAGATACGCCTAAATCGTGCAGATTGGCCATTACCAGCCTCTTTCTTTTCAGACAGTCAAACACGTTCTTAGAGTTCTAACAGTTTAACGTATCTACGGGTGTTTTATGGTTCTACAGATAGATTCAGAAGTAAGTTTACTCCAATAAAATGATATCATCTTTTTGTTTATCGCGTGCACATTAATAGGCCCCAGATTATAAAAACTGAATTTCTTAGCAAACATAGTCAGACAGCCATTGTCATCGGTATCTCTGTACGCATTTGCCAGCACCTGGTCTGACTGTTATTATCATTTTTAACTGGACATCTGGTGAACAATTGTTTTATATAATCAATGAGATTACAAATATTATCTTTTAGTTTTGCTCTGGAACGTGTATGTAGTATTTGTTGTACGACTCGGCACTGTGAAAAACGAATGAAAACATTTGATGCCCAAGGTAATTCACCCAGATCAAGTGAATATTTTGATTACACAGAGTTCTGAGCCCCCAACGTTCGATTTACTACCAAATTGTATCATCACCCTCAAGGTCATGCCAGTTCAAGCAGGGCTGCAACAGAACTGAGAGAAAATATTGGAGTGGGAGATTGGGTTTAGCATAAATTCCTCTCAGATATAACTATCGATACACAAGTATGGTATTGTAAGCTGAAATATATAGTATTAAATTGAGAGTCAGGTAACAAGGGTTAGATCAATACGTATATATGTATTCTAATCCAAACCGGTGGCCAATCAGGATTATTCAAAACTCTAAACAGCTTCGAACTTCTAAATAATTGACAGAGAGAGTTTGTATGGACTCTAACTTTATTGGTCAGATGTTCAGATTATTCTCTGAATTGATTTGAAAACCAGCAATTCGTATCAGGGAAAATGTGTGGTAGTTCAATGGTAAAAAAAGCACAATCAAAATCCGCCATTATTACGCAATTGTGTGCTTTTGGAGGTTCGAAAAAAAAGCTCAGTTGTTTGGGCTGTTTATTCATTGTCCAAGAAAAACCCCAAGTGTTCGATTCTGGTACAAAGATGACCAATCGAAAATCTATTCGCGTAACTAGTCAGGCCGTAAGATGCTGTAAACATCACAGTTTAGAAATTTACCAAGTTACTTAAAAATTCATAGTTAGAAGGGTAGCTCCGGGAACGTAGCGCATACTTTGGACAAATTGGACAACATCTGTTGCAAAATTGAATCTACGTTCACAAATGAACTTTGTTCATGAGAAGTGAAAACATGAAGATGTCGAGGATAACAGATCCCCATTACGGTCATCAATTTATTATAGCTGCAATATTTGACATAATTACGACGGTCGAGCCTCAAGAAATACGGGTTTTGTTTATAGCTTGTTGAGGGTCTTTTGTGAACGGTGTTTATTATCGTCCGCATGTGTATGCACCCACATCTCAGGAACAGAGTTCACTTGTGAATACCGTTCAATGTACCGTGTGCTATATTTCACATATGTACTCACAGGAGTATCGCATGTAATTCCGGAAAGATTGAAGCTGTACAAGATGTGCCAAATAGTTCGCCGATACGAGCACATTGTTGAAACCTTCTCCAGTCAACATGTGATGCATCGTGCGACCCCCACACCTTCTTAACCAATCTTTGCCACATCAACAATTGTAAAAAATAAACTTTGTTCGCATTAGTTGACCTCACCTACTGCGGCGTGACTAAAGTTTGTGCTTCTAGGCTCAAGGACTAGGAGGTCTTGGCTAAAGCATTGCGAGTTTTGGCTTTGGGAATGTGGATCGAGACGGAAGGATTGCAGGTTTTGGCTAAAGCTTGATGGGGAAAGATGTAGTTAGTACCCACGCGGAAAGAATAAATCTCACTGTGAATACCTTAAAGGAAAATAGTGTTTGCTTATTCAATATACGCAAAATGTGCCTAGTAAGTAGTGGCAAGGAAGCATTGAAGAATCGACTGACCCACTTTGATGAATCTAATGTGCGAAGAAACAACAGAAAGTCTGCGCAGACTGAAATTTATTTTCCCTTACAGCCAGCTACTCGGTACTCTGTCCCCCGGGGATCTCGTGTTCACTTCGATTCCGGTCCAAAATAAAGGTTTAAGCGTAATGGATTTTGGATTTGAATCCCTCAGAAGCTTGCATTGATTGCTGTTTTATTTGGATTCAACGTGTCATTTAACGCGATCCGCATGCATATCAAGTACAGTGAGAGGAATAGAGTTATGAACCAGAACGATGAAATTCGACTGATTTGGTAGCTTCTTTGGATAATGCCATAGAAACCGTAAGTTACATAAATGCCACAGAAACCTGTAAAATTATCGATCCGATGTTTCCCGTGGAAAATAGCTTCAATACACCCATTTATTAGCAACCTCCATAGTTATTGTAAGAAAAACTAACTGCTTTTGGAAGTTAACAATCGGGGTATGAAAAGTGTATTAAACTGCAGATGTACTGATATTTTTGTTCTGAAACCAATTCTCCCGATTTCCTCGGCATCCTTGGCTTTTGATCACCGTTTCTCCCTTTTCCTGATAAATGTACTCGCTCGTCCATTGTGAACGGGTTGGTCCATTCCGACGCCGGTTTGGTTTTTTTTTGTGCCTGGCCTAATCGAGAAGTAGAGCGGATGCAAAGCTTGCTCGTTAAAATTGGGAATAAAAATAGAGGTGAGCCTAGCATGCCAATGGTAAAGGGGTGATTAACGCTATTGTGGTATATTGCGAATATGCGGAACTCTACCAGTCAATTATAGGTTGTTCTAAATATACTATAATTCATTATATAATTCCACTGTTCAGTAAGTGCATGAAAACAGATCATGTGTGTGTGTGTGTGTATAGTTGGGTGGGTGGTGAGTCTGAACCAAACACGTTTCATTCACAAAGTCGATACGGTGGTCTGCACGGGATATGGCGTAGCTTTGTGAAATTGACATTTTTTACCCGTTCTTCTAACATTCACATCCATCAAACGGTATTTGCCTCCATCATACTCGTACTCATTTCCTGGGTTTCGAGCTAATCCATGTCGGACACTTTTCACATTCGTCAATGTTTCGGTTCCCTAGCGAGATTGACGCTAATAACCGTTTCAGATTGGTTATTTTGCATTGTGGGACATCTTTCGACCATGGCCACGATATTGTAGACTGGCTCTTGCACATACCTAAACACAGACACACACACACACATGGGATTTGAGAGCAATAATCCTCAAGAGAGAACCAACTACTCATCTTCTCTCGACATAAAACTTCAATCTACCAAACAACAATTTGCACAGTTAAGCTTACCTTAGAAGTTCACTCGGTGGACTCTGGTGAATTGTAAGGAAAACCTGTCAGGGCAGTCAGC